CTAACCCATGTTTCAAGTATACTCTGCAGCTTTAAAACACCAACACATTGTTAAAGACCTAAAAGAGTAAGTATCAGTCAGAATCAGAGAGGAAGTTTCACTTAAGACACAGGTCTGGAGATTATAATTACTGAATAAAAGGTGATAGTCAGACTCAAAGGGTAAAAATTTTGAGGAAGTGTCTGTTCTCACAGCAACATTTTTCAGATTTCCCTAAACAGAACCTAAGACAGGATCACAGAGCATGAGCTAGCTGAATGGTGAATAAAAGGGGAAAAATGCAGCTTGTGCATTCAACTCTAGCCTCATTCAATTGTTTTCATATGGATTCTATAAAGACATATATAAATGCATAAAATAGAAAAAAACTTATAAATATATGTTGTTTTTTATAATATACATAAATGAAAAGATATCGATGAAAAAGTTCTGGAGATGGATAGCAGTGGTAGTTGTAGAAAAATGTGATTTTTTTAAAAGATTTTATTCACTTATTTGACAGAGAGAGATAGATAGCACAAGCAGGGAAGCAGCAGGCAGAAGGAGAAACAGACTCCCCACTGAGCAAGGAGCCCGACGTGGGACTCAATACTAGGACTCTGGGATCATGACATGAGTGTAAGGCAGATGCTTAACCAACTGAGCCACCCAGGTGTCCCATCAATATGAATGTGCTTAATGCCACTACACTGTTCGTTTAAAATGGTTAATATGGTAAACTTTATGTTAGGTATATTTTATGATAAAAAATCATTTAAAGTTTATAGGTTTAAAAAATGTTGAGGTAAAATAAATAATGATGCTCTCTCAATAAGGGTCAGATTATTTGGAAAAATGGTACATATCATCACCACATGATACATACCTAGTTACCCATCTCAGACTAGTTTTTTAAATCATTTAATCATTTAAATCATTTAGGGAACAATTTAAATATTGTAAAAGAATTTTGAACATAAATTAAGACATGAGGTCAATCTTTTATAGTAATATTTGTTTTCCTAAATAATTCTATTATCAATGTTATAGAGATATTTAACATCCTGATTTCATGCACTAGATAAAATATTATAAAATATTGTAATGCCTATGTTTAATGATTTTTTAGGTTATAGATGTTTTTCTAATGCATAAAAACATTAAGTATAAAAATATACAGAATATAATATGCTAATATAACACTTTAATGTTTTATAAATAATAAGTATAGTGAATATAAACTTTATTTAATGTCATAGATTTGGGGCACCTGGGTGGCTTAGTCGGTTAAATATCTGACTTTTTTTTAAAACTTTATTTTTCAGCATTCCAATATTCATTGTTTATGCATCACACCCATGCCCCATACAATACGTGCCCTCCTTAATACCAACACAAGGCTCACCCAACCCCTCACCCACATTCCCTCTAAAACCCTCAGTTTGTTTCTCAGAGTCCACAGTCTTTCATGGTTTGTCTTCCCCTCTAATTTCCCCCAACTCACTTCTCCTCTCTTTCTCCTACTGTCCTCCGTGTTATTCCTTATGCTCCACAAGTAAGTGAAACCCTATGATACTTGACTCTCTCTGCTTGATTCTTGATTTCAGCTTGGGTCATGATCTCAAGGTTGTGTGCTCACTGGGGAATCTGCTTGAGACTTTCTCTGCCTCCACCCATTGCCCCTCTCTCATGCGCACTCTCTTCCAAATAAACAAATAGATCTTTAAAAAGTGTCATAGATTGATCACACTTGAGGTTTTTAAAAATATTTAATAATAACTTGAAGTAATTATATATGTGTGTGTATACACACACACACACAAATGTATGTGAATTTTAATTCACAGTAAATAATTTCATAGTTATGTTGGATAATTGCCAAATTAGCCAATTTTAAAGAGAAAAATTATTTCCAACCTTATTTCATAGAATGCTTCAATTTATATTCCTTATAAATAAGCCTCCTATATTCACTTGGGTAGAGATGCTAGGAATATTTGTCAAAAAGCAGTATCACTAAGGAAATGTCTTCTATTTTCTCATTCTAAATGGATAATGAATGGTTATATTTATCTCTTCATAAATATTTAGGCACAAGAAATTCTGATGAGATTCTTCTTTTAAAAATTATTTTAAAGTGTATTCTACACTCAAATGTGGAAAATTCTAGATAATATTAGTTTTTCATGCATTTTATTTCATAACAGCAAAAGGAATCATAAAAGGAAGCTATATGGCCTGAACAAATGGAGACTACTTCTGAGAAATTGCAATTATCCTTGATTTTTGATTTACTCTTATGTACCACAAGGTGATAAATTTGACAAAAAGTCTTCTTAATGGTCTCTGTGCATGAAGAACTAGTTATCATTCTATTAATGAAGTGCCTCCTCATCCACTCTTTTCCTGTCTAGTGGTCTGAGGCATTGTTAGTATCAAGACTTCTGTCTCCAGTGAAAATCAATGCCTCAAAAAATCTATTTCATAGTTTATGCCAGAATTGTTTCACCTTTAGTTCTAAATAATATGCATTACATAAAATATAAATACATAGTTATTAAAGGCATACTATGAATATACACATTCTCCTGTAAGATAATACTTTCTAAAGGCATTAGAATTAATCTGAAGTTGATATTGAACAAGTAAAGCCAAAGGGACAGAAAGTGTTTTGACTCAAAAATTATTGTCTGTCTGGTATTAATTCGACTGTAACTAATTTATTCTTAATCTATGGTGTATGCTTAAATTCATTTTTGTATGATTTTCTCTCACCGTTCAGTTAGATACTGACTATATCTATAGTTATTTCATCAATATTAATCCCTTCATCTTTCTTCTGTCACGTTATTCTGAGTTTATATAAACTCACCTGTTCTGTAGAATTAATCACTACAACCTGCTAAGTGTACTCTAATACCCAGCCTCCCCTCCACCAATCTCGGCACACCCTCCTTTTTCTTTTTCCCATCCCCTCTGACTCTCAGGAGTGCTTCTCAGAGGCTGAAGAGATGTAAGACACATATACTGCTTTTAATTCTGTTTCTAGTTAGATTATCCATTATGTGAAATTTGGAAAAGATGGGTAATTATAGAAGAAGAAGTAACCCATAATTTTGTCATCTGATAAAAAGGATTTATTTTAGTTTATATAATTTCCCTTCAATATTTGTTTATATATTCAGCTTGTTGTCTAATCCTTCTTCATTCTTCTGGAGTTTTGTACCATCATAAATGTCATTGAACAACTTCCCCCAATTCTTCCTTCAACAATTTTTCCCTACAAATATATATGATTTCCCACAGTTAAGCAGCAACCATAGAAGTTCCTTAACATCGATACTGCCAAATATCTTATCCTCATTGCCATATTTCTTAAAAATACTTCATATTGTAGGTGTAACTTCCCCATCACACACTCAGGCTTAACATTTGACATTCTGACTTTTGGTTTCTTACCCTCTTTCCAAACCAAAAGAGCTTGTATGTCCTAAACAAACATTTCTAGAGTCCCTTTTTAAAGGACTGATGCTGTCCTTATTAAAAGCTACTCTTTTTTTTTAGGTTTACAAAAGGGACCAACTTCCTGCCTTATTCCCATAACTTTTTGCTGATTTCTCTCCCTCTATGGGCTTAATGAGAAGAGTAGGAAATGAGAGAATAGCAGGTTCATTTGCAGAAAGTTTTTGCAGGTTCTCTATTCCTAATTAATTGACTTTCTGTTTCTAGGTGACATTAAAACATGGCTAATTATTAATTAACCCATATCTAATTGGTATTCCAGATTTTAGCAAATACTTATGGGGAAGTGTTAATTTTGAAATGTTAAGCCTATTTGAATACATAGTGTCTGAAATTAAGACTTTTCAAATTGATAATGCTCTTTAAAATTTATTTACCAATTTAAAAAGTAACACTAGTACATTAACAATTTATTTCATTATTGCAACCTAATGTAATAACTAGTATTGAATTCAATCTGCAATATATGTGCCATGTAATAGTTTATAAAATAGCTATCATTGTGGAGTTCTGTTTTAATTGTGACATGGAATACCTATTTTGATGGTCAGCATGGTCAGATCTCTTTAAAAACTATCTAGCATTCAAAAAAAAACAGATTCTCTAGACCAGGTAGACTGGCTCTAAGGGAAGAGAAAATTTTCTATGTGCATAGTATCCTGCCCTTTCTATATTTTCCAAAGATTCTTATATATTTGGCTCTGAAAATTGCCATTCAAATGTTCTGACTTAAAAATTAGACCAGCTTCAAAAGCATAGACCAGAAGAATTAGTGATGCAGGTGTTCTGAGGTTGTCAACCCTCTTCTCCCCTCTGCTGGAAGCTACGTCTCTATTAATGCAAATCCAAATCAATTATCCATAGCCCTTGATAAATACAGCAATAGGGGCACCTGGGTGACTCAGTGGGTTAAAGCCTCTGCTTTCAGCTCAGGTCATGATCCCAGGGTCCTGGGATCAGGCCATGCATTGGGCTCTCTGCTCAGCGGGGAGCCTGCTTCCTCCTCTCTCTGCCTGCTTCTCTGTCTGCTTGTGATCTCCGTCTGTCAAATAAATGAAGTCTTAGAAAAAAAAAAAAAAAACAAAAAGACAGCAATAGAGGCCCCATGATCTTACCACATGTCATTAAGGCCCCAAACTGCCTAAAATTGAACCCAAACAGGGAAATCTGAAATGTAAAGTTATTTTATCCAGAAGAATCAAAAAGAAAAAATTTGACCAGGCTTTTTGAAAATTTAAAGTAAATCATCCAGGTAATCTCTAACTTGGGGTTGGGACTTAACACATACATGTGGAATGGTGTACATTTATGCAGGGTTCCATCCAGAGGAAGTGGTTCTGCAGTCATAAGGTAAGATCCTATCTTCCTTTGTGTAATGTACAGCACACTGAATCTTTACTGCATTTTTAGAATAGGTAACTTCCCATGCCAAGATTTAATTAACATTTAAATATTTGAAAGGGGTGGTGATAATGTTGTCTCTAAATAAAAAAATTTACCTGTCTTGGGATCAATAGAGAAATAAGGTTGTCCCTGAAGAATGCTATAAACGACTCTGGCACTGTTTCCATAGGTCGGGTCATCCGCGTCTGTGGCCTTGACCTGGAGCACATATGCACCTGGAAAATAAGACAGTGTGACTCTAGCATATTTGTTTTTTAGAGCTCAAGGTCATGTTTTTTTTTTTTTAATCTGATGGACTCCATTTTTTTTTTTAATTTGGCATTACTCAATGATTCTGTGTATATATGATGCCACTGAGAATGATGTAACTATTATAACCAAAATGTTGGGCAACGATATAGCTGTTAGTGCAAATGATACATATTTTAAAAATCTATTTTAAAAGCTGTGTTCATTTCCAGTAGCTAGATGATTGAACTGAAAGTCATCATGATAGCTTTATTGATTTATACACCAAAAGAAACATGACACTGCTTACATTAGCTCATCTGCTTACTATAGATGCTTTAATTGCATGATTGGGTTATCAATAAAGAAGCTAAAAGGTCTGAAGGTTTACTGAACTTTAGAGGCTGTAAGTAACTTGCATTGTTATTTAAAAATAAACAACTACATTCTACCATTAGGAAGACTTTAATTAGGACAGAATATCTGAGAAATTGAGGATCCAAAAATAATTGCAATTATAGCTACAAGAACACCTCTAGGTCTCAAGACTGAATTAACCTAAGGATTCAGTGACATAAGAAAACATTAAAGGCAATTCAAATTCTCTGTATCTTTTCTCATGTTTTCTCTAAGAGAAGTTAAAAGGAGATTTTTCTTGTATTTTTGTCTTATATATTCATGGTCATAGTTAAGTCTTTCTCTAAGACCTTTTTGACTATATCTTCATATCCTGTTCAGCATTACTATACTGAATTGAGAACAAAGTAAAATTAAAATCATCAAGTTCAATATAAATAAAATCAATATGTTGCTAATGGTTAGAAGGAAATCTCTACTGAGCACAAAGGGAGGGATACGTACACCCAAAGTTAGAAAATGGACAGAATGCTCCTATTCTTAGAGGCACTCAAAGTGACTGCTTAATTTTGGGAACAAAGGATTTCTCCTTTCCAGTCAATTATTCATTCAGGCTTTACACTTCAGGTGGTACAAAACTGGAACAAACTCAATCTTAAAGGTTTACTTGTAAACTAAGAGAATGAAACATCTCTTCCCCCCTGCCATTTTGTCTGTTTGTCAGGTTAGTAAAAAAAGAAATTTAAAAATGATAACTTTCAATAGACATTCAATATCAAATGGCATTGAGTAGACATTCAATACTAAATGTTTTAATCTTAAGAATGCTTTGGTGAATTCTAGCTATTTCAAGACATGAATGATAGGTTTTATTTCAACAGTCTTTCCCAGGAAAGGAAACTTCTAAAAGGAAAGTAGGCTCTCATTTCTGAGATGTCAAGACTGATAAAATTCCTTATCACCCACTATCACCATCATGATCATCATTATCAATATTTGCAACATCATTAATAATTATTTGACAAATAGGCATTAAGGACCTATATTAGATACCCATTGGGAGGGAGACAAACCATAAGTGACTCTTAATCTCACAAAACAAACTGAGGGTTGACGGGGGGAGGGGGGTTGGGAGGGTGGGGTTATGGACATTGGGGATGGTATGTGCTATGGTGAGTGCTGTGAAATGTGTAAACCTGGCGATTCACAGACCTGTACCCCTGGGGATAAAAATATATTATATGTTTAAAAAAAATAAAATTTATTTTAAAAAAAAGTATGTTCTCCTTTTTGCTATAGGAATGAAGTGTTGCAAGACTAACTTCTTTTCTTTCCTCCTTTCTGTCACACAGTGATTTTTCTGGTTTGACCTATATCATTACTATCACTGCACTGCACATGTGCTATATCAGCAAAGTCTACAAATATTAAATAATTACCCAATCCTAAGTATAAATGTTGTAGTTAAAAAGTTGTGAGTTGTTCTTCTTTAAGGATATATTTGAAGAAAAAGGTATTATGTCTGCTAAGAAATGTTTAGTGACAAATTCAATAAACTTTAACCTAACTCTCACCTATGCTTAATAAGAAAGACAAAAATGAATAAGATAGGCAATATCTCTTAATTCACTCTTTAAATTTTTGAGTTTAAATTTTAAAAAAATATTAACATACAACACTTAAAACTACTTTTGGAGGAAACTATTTTTCTGTATACTTGGTTAATGTTCATATTAATATTAAGAACAAAAATGTAAAAGAGAAGATGCTGTATTATTCATCTGTATCCTTCTTATTGAGCATATGGTTATAGCAGCATTATCTACAATAGCCAAATTATGAAAACAGCTGAAAATCCATCAACTGATGAATGGATAAAGAAGCTTTCTCTCTCTCTCTCTCACACACACACACACATGCATGCACGCACGCACACGCGCACACACATGGAATATTACTCAACCATAAAAATGAAATCTTGCCATTTGCAATGACATGGATGAGTTAACGAGTAGAATTCTAGGCAAAATAAGTCAGTCAGGGGAAGACAATCATCATATGATTTCACACAGATGTGGAATTTAAGGAACAAATGAGCATAGGGGACAAAAGAGAGAGGTAAACCAAGAAACTGACTCTTAACTGTAGAGAACAAACTAATGATTACCAGAGGGGAAGTGGACAGGGGGGATGGGTGAAATAGGTGATGGGGATTAAGGAGGACACTTGTGATGAGTATCAGGTGCTGTATGGAAGTCTTGACTCACTATATTGTACACCTGAAACTAATATTACACTGTGAGTTAACTAATAGAACTTTAATAAAATCTTAAAAAAAAATGAATGTCCACTCAGTTATAGTAGAAATTATCTTCAGTTTAGTGAAAAGGTTATTCACTAAGAACCATATCTAATTTGAGAGCTCTTAGAAGTGCCTCTATAGGTGTTTACAAGGAAACAATTAAACATCATTATATCAGCATGTTTTGCCAGATGCTCCCTGACATTTTACAAACTAATGCAAAGGACAGAGATTCCCTCTATTGGAAAGACTCAGTTGCTCATCTGGAGCATGTAAGTCTCAAAATACTACCTTCTGCAGGGCTTGGATAGCACAGCAGTTCCTGATCCTATTAAACACTCAGTACCCAAGAGGTAGGAGCAGGAGGTTACATCTGGGAACATGTTCAGTGTGCAACAAGGAAACAATATAATCACAAAAACTGGAGTAGTCTGCTTGTACCTAGCAGTCATCTTGAGATGTATTCTCTTATCACCCAAATTCAGGGTGACAATGTAACCACTCCAAATGCTGAAGTGCAGAGAGAATGTAACTCAACAAGAAAGCATTCTTTTACATCTAGTTGGAGACAGCATGTACAATATGCAATGGAGAATACTGAACTACTTAAGTTTTCCATGTAACACTGTTCTGAATGGTAGTAAGTTAATTCATGTAGTTTTTAATAATACAGCTACTACTAAAAAAGTTATTTTATAGTAATGGTTAAATTCTAAATCTAAGCAGTCACTCTCTATATATGTGTAAGATATAAGTTAATATCATATATATATGCATACATTTATAGAATACCAAGGCACAGAAAAAGTGAACACTGAGAGTTATAGAAATATCATCTAGAAAGAACAGTCTTTAGGAGAAGCCCATTTGATATAAAATGCAACTAAATCAGGGTTTCATTAAAATACCTAAATACTTGAGAGTTAATATGAGAACCAATTTAGATAGAATTTTTACTTGTACGTATATGTAAAAATATATTCAAAAAATTAGTTGCATTTTGTAAATTCACAGTTGTAATATGATAAGATTTCAGGGGTTTTGTTTTTGTTTTTGTTTTTTGTTTGTTTGTTTTTTAATATGAGGATGTCCTTTATTGTCAACAAGAATGGGCTCATATAAAATGGTAGAGAGGTTGGGGCTCCTGGGTGGCTCAGTGGGTTAAAGCCTCTGCCTTCGGCTCTGGTCATGATCCCAGGGTCTGGGATGGAGCCTCACATCAGGCTCTGTGCTCAGCAGGGCGCCTGCTTCCCCCTCTCTCTCTGCCTGCCTCTCTGCCTACTTGTGATCTCTGTCTGTCAGATAAATAAATGAAATCTTAAAAAAAAAAAAATGGTAGAGAGGTTGGAATTGAACTGAGCCTTAACTCACCATTTCTACCCAAGTAGACATTAACTTGCTGATTGATTAATTTCTTTTTTCAATCAACAAATATTCAGTGGTACATACCATATACCAGGTACTCAACCATAAAAAGCAATGTGTTACATAACTGTTCTGGTAAATGCTCCCTCCAGCATGATCATTCTATATCCCTTGCATTTTTTAACATTTGAGGTGTTAAAAAAAAAAAAAAAAAAACTTGGTAGAAATATGTTGAATATATAAGTGGATTATGGAGCACCTGTGTGGCTCAGTTGGTTAAGTGTCTGACTCCTGATTTTGGGTCAGGTCATGATCTCAGCGTCCTGGGATCGAGCCCTGCTCTGTGCTCAGTGGAGAATCTGCTGAATATTTTCTCTCTCCCTCTGCTTATGCCCCTCCTCCTGCTCATGCTCTCCCTCACTCTCTGTATCTCTCTAAAATAAATAAATAAATCTTAAAAAAAAAGAAAATATACGTGAATTATATCTAATTTGTGGCTTCTATAAAGTCTTTTTTAAAAATTTCCTAGATGTATAAAAATACTCTACTCATTCAGTATGTTCTTTGCTTTTTATCACCCTGCAATTGTCTCAGGTGGTCTGGAGCCTCACTTTCCTAATTGCAAGCCTGAAAAAATCCCAATTTTTTCCTCTCCAGCTCCTTTCACACAGGAGCCTCAGAGTCACTGTCCTATAACACAAGGTTGGTGACGTTGCTCCCCTTTCCTTTAAAAAATAAATTAATTTTTTTAATGCTCTATTTTTTTAACCCCTTAGGTTTTAAAACCTAAGAGGTTCCCATTCCTCTTGAAAGAAGATCACCTAAACTCATGGGCATGACAGGGATGGGTTTCAGAATCTCTGCAGATTAAGTTTCTGACAGTGCTGTGGGAGACCCCACACGGAGCCTATGAGTACTTAGTTATGGCGGAGCTAAGGCTCTTTCCTGTCTCTGTATACTTGC